GCTCGGGGCGGGCGTTGCCGAAGGTAAACGCTCTGGATTTCTGCTACAGTTCCATCTGGTCATGAGTGGCTTATTTTGCATGCATCTTTCATGCAAGGCCCGTATAGATGATTTTCATGAACTCTGGACATGTTCCCAAGTGGTAATTTTTTCTTCTTCTTTACCCGACATGCTGTCACAAACTTTTTCGCACGCCTTCAAACCAAATTAGGTGTCGGCCGGCGGAGGGAAACGGCGAGATTATGTCTCTTATCGACCTGTGTATTGACTCCATCTGCCAAAATATACTCTGCTACGAGGTGCCTCCATCATTTGATGTTCTGCCGCCAGATTTGGTGCGCCGCATCTTCGACTCCTTGACAAGTCACAAGGCACTTACCAAGTTGACGGTAAGCATTGTCTGTGGCGATGAGACCCCCCCATCATTCAGTGTCACGAATCCGGTCATGCACAATTTTGTAAGATGTTTGGTCTCGATTTATTGATTAATCTTCATTCGCCAACATCGGCAGCTCTTGCCTCTGCGATATTGCGACGTCACTCGTCTTGACCTTTCGCCCTGCAAGGGAGTGACTGACCAGTGGTTGCGCCCTTTTACCGACAAGACCCTTACGCATCTATGTCTAGCCTTCTGCAATGCTATTACGGACGCAGGTCTCCTTAATCTTACAGAGCTAGGTGGCTTACAGGTTGCTGACTTGACAGCTTGCGCAGGCCTTAGGACCGGAGGCCTGGCGGCGTTTCGTGAGAGCTGGTCAATGACGAGCTTGACGCTTAACGGATGCCGCAATTTGACTGATGAGGCTGTCAAGCCACTTGTATATTTATCAGCCCTGCAACATCTTCGCTTGCGCGGCTGCTGGCAGCTGTCGGACGCAGCCTTGAACGCCCTGGCCCCCCTCATGCCACAGCTTAAGACACTTGACGTCAACGCGTGCCGACAGTTTTCCTCAACCTCAATCTCTTTTTGTGTGGGGAAAATGCGTGAGATCAGACACCTGGACCTGGGTTACTGTCCAAGGGGAGTGGGTGGCGGGGCTTTAGAAGTTTTGACCCGCGGCCCGGCCCCTACTACCTTGCAAGTCTTGATCTTGGACTCGTCTCGGAGTCTGTCGAATGCGGACCTGTTCTCCCTCGGTAAGTTCCGTTGTCTTCAGCGCCTGAGTCTCAGAAATTGCAGTACCATCAGTGATGCTGGATTGTGCCAGCTACCTTCGTCCCTTGAAACCCTGGACGCCTCCCACTGCCGGGGAGTCCGTCGCCTCCCCGCGCAGTCCCTACCTTGTCTACGCAGCGTCAACTTTGCTCACAGTGGGCTTCGTGATTCGGACGTCGGGTCGCTAGCTGTGTTTCCAGCCCTCGTCAATATCAATTTAGACTCTTGTTCGATAGGTAAGTGTAAATGACATCAGCAAGACATCGACATCCGATTTGCCCGAAATTTCGGCTTGAAGAGTGCTTCTTATGTGACTCTTCTTACTTCTTCAACCAGGAAATAGTGGTCTCGTCAGTCTGCTCCCTTTGAAAAAATTGAAACGGCTGAACCTAGCTGATACAGGGGTCTCGAATGGCGGGATGGACGTGCTGGCCAAATTGAGCTCATTATCGGTCATCTCTTTGTTCTACACAAGTATCTCGGACTCTGGCGTGCGTCAATTGAGCGTATTGCAAAACCTGACAGACCTTAACCTCGACAATCGAGATCTTACAGATACCTCTCTCCTACACCTTTCCTCTCTCACCAAGCTCCGGCGCCTAGACATGTTCTCTTCTCGCGTTTCTGATGTGGGGCTGTGCTTCATCACCTCGCTGGTTGAGCTGGTAGACCTGGAGATTTGTGGTGGGCGCATTACTGATAAGGGATTAGAATACATCTCCCAACTACCTTCACTGCAGCGATTAAATGTGAGCCAAAATGTTCAAATATCTAATTCGGGTCTGCATCATCTCGCATCTCTGAAAGACTTGGAAGCTTTAAACGTATCTCATAGTCAAGTCGCCGCGCCTGGTGCTTTGAAACCGTTGTGCAGGCTCCGAGGCCTCAAAATACTCGCTGTTAACGGCTGCCGCGGTATGGATGATACTACGTTGCACCAAATTCAGAGTTCTCTGCCGAATCTACGCACGGTTAGGGCGGTCTCTTAAGAATAAATGGTTGTTGTTGGTTGTATTCTAGACCCCACGTTCAAGCTATTTTGTGAATTTCGTACAGGAATTGTAGAGCAACAAGACGCCTGAGACGCAGACTACAAAATTTGTTTTCTCATCGCGCGGACGTGACTTTTTTTTAAGAGATACCTCTTTCATAATCCAAAATCTCTTGCCAGACATTTTTCTGAATGCTACTGAACCATGTGTCCTATTTCCTGTTGCTGTCAAACAGACGTTTTTGCTTTTCCCACTCTTTTTTCAGTTTCTTCACAAGACTTTTTGAGAGCAATATACCCTCTACATCTTTCGTGGGAATGCCATCCTCATCAAAGGCGCTGTACTTGTCCGTCTCAGCCTGAAACATGTCTTTCGGATCTAAATTCTTTCTCGCCTCTTTCTCCAGAAGTTGACGGGCTTGCTCCTCCTTCCGACTTCTTCCCTTGCCATCGGCTCCTGTGGACACGTCTTTTTTAACACTGGACTCCTTAAGCGTCACCACCCTATTTAGGACGAGTTTTGCTGACGTCGTGTCGGGATCAACGGTGAAATAGCCTACCCGCTCAAGTTGAAATGTTGTAAAGACGGAAGGGAGCTGGCCATTGACCGTCAGGACGGACGTGTCGATGAGGCCCTGGGCTTTGACCTCCAAAGACAACGGATTCAATTCCGCTTCCCAAGTGTCATCCCCAGGACATTCCACAGTGAAGAGATGATTGTACAGCCGAAACTCAGCAGAAACAACATTGTCTAGCACAGCTGAGACCCATGTGATGGCTCCCTTGGGCTTGGGGCTGGATCCATCCTTATCTGCAGTAACTTTGAGCTCCACCACATCACCAGTATCATTATATAGCACCTCATTCACACACACGGGGAAAGCGTACTTCAAAATCGCACTTTTGCCTGGGGCAAGTCCGAAATAGTCTTTTGAGTCGTCTTCTCGAAAGTCTGAGGCATCGATGTATATTTTGGGCGTAAGAACGATAGAGTGTGACCCTCGCTCAGGTGCAAAGGGAAAGTCAGGAGATTCTAGCTTTACCGGTTCCTCGAGGTTACTGATAGTGACCAAAATAGGGTCTTGAACGCCCATAGCCCGCTTGGCAGTTTCGTTGAGGATAGTTCGAGCCCAGTGCTGCAGGCGCTCGTATTGGATGATGTTCTCATTTCTCGTCACACCGATATCTTTGCAAAAGGCATTAAGTATATCCGCCGTGTAACCGCGGCGACGAAGACCTTTGATGGTGGGCATCCGAGGGTCATCCCAACCGGCTACCCATTTCGCCTTCACTAGCTTCAACAGCTTCCGCTTGGAAAGTACAGTGTAAGTTATGTTTAGGCGCGAAAATTCATATACCTTGGGCCGGTACAGATCCAAAGCCTCCAGTACCCAGTAGTATGATTCACGGCGCGTCTCAAACTCCAACGTGCAAATAGAATAATCGATATGCTCCAAAGAATCAATTATACAGTGCGTGAAGTCATATGTTGGATAGACGACCCACTTATCCCCCGCGTGCGGATGTGGGATGAACTTGATCCGATAGGCCACCTGATCATACATGTTAAAATTGGGCGAGCTCATGTCCATCTTCATTCTGAGCGTTGCTTCGTTCTCCTTGAACTTTCCGAGCCGCATGTCTTCAAATAACTGCAAGAGGAAATTTGGACATGTGCGAGTTTAAGAAAAATCTGAAAAATTGGAGCCCTCGACATGCCATGCGAGTATAATGGAGGAAAAACTGACAAATCGCACTTATTCATTACAATGAAAATATCCAGATCGGCAATCGGTCGGTATTCGATCGTCTCGTCCTCTGTCCCACGGCTCCATTTGGAAGACCTACCCGTAGTGATTCCTCGATAGGCCTATCTCGCCAAGGACTGTTGGGGTCTCCCTCAAAGTGGGGATTCACTGCCTTTTCTTTCGCTATGCTGCGTGATTTGCTTATCTGCTCTCCCGTTTGATGGCACACGTACGCCTTGTCCGCCCGAATGAGACGTACAGCCAGATCGTACAACTGGTCGAAGTAGTCCGAAGTGAAAGTAGTCTGCGCAGGCGTCCATCCCAACCATTCCACATCTTCCCGTAGTGAGTCAATGTACTCTTGACTCTCTGCCTCAGGATTTGTATCATCGTATCGAAACACAGTCTCTCGCATATCTTCAGGAACTCCCAACTTCTCAAAGGCGAGGTGGAAGTTCATATGCATGGATTTGGCATGCCCGATGTGCAGATATCCATTCGGTTCCGGAGGAAAACGCGTCCGCACCTTGCCTTTGGTCACTTGTCGATGCTCTTCCTCGAGTGCCGGAGAGTTCTTGGCACTCTCCAACTCCCGGGCCGCCAAAGAGTCTTCCCCTCCACCTCCTGCGCCTACTTCCTCCGCCATTACGCCTCACGCACAGAGCGAGTGGTCGCTGGTGCCCTGCCCCGCGATCCTGACATGTATTTTTAAGTGATCGAGCAAGGTTGCTTAATCTTGTGAACAACGTCTCAACTGTCGACCAACTAGCTGGCATGCCCGACCAGATCGAAGCCGAGCCTGCAGGCTACCCAGCTAGCTAGACGGAGGCGAGCACGTCTCGCGGCCGAGACACCTAACCCGTTTGTAAGAAATATGCTCCCTCTATCGACATAAATTGTGAGCCTCCCCGGACATGACAAGATTGTGCTTTGATGCTTTTAATTGATTTGTGTCAGAAGTCTCTTACCACCGCGACTTAGAACCAACGATTGACTGTGTCACAGCTGAGATCTACTAGATCTCAGTAGGAGGACTAGTAGCCGGGAGGTTGAACGGCCAACCTTTACTGATTCGACCTTTTGTTTCTCAACGCCGATCAACCTCACAGCGAACGCTGCCGAAAGATGCGTCTAGTAATCCTCTGCCATGGCATCATCTTCACCTTGCTGGCATTTGTCGGCCTTCCGGCTCAAGCTTTCATTCCTCCAAAAGGTCTGCCTCGTTCCTCTTTTCATCAATTAGCACCACCTGCGCCGCGCATTGCTAGCTCCTCTTTGCGCATGACGATAGATCCATCAAGCATACCATTAGCTGAAAATACAGGGACAGTATTACTGCTCGCAGCGAGCAGCTGGGTCTCCCCCGCAAAGGCTGTAATTGAGCCCCTTTTAGACCTTGGCGGTGTCGCGTTCTTGGTTCGGATCGTCCTGTCATGGTACCCACAGGTGGATTTAAATAAATTACCAGCGAATCTGATTGCCTGGCCAACTGAGCCCTTCCTTAGTGTTACTCGTCTCGTTGTACCTCCTGCCTTCGGTGTGGACATCAGCCCCATCATTTGGTTTGCCTTCCTGAATTTTTTGCGAGAAATTTTGGTCAGTGATCAAGGCATCCTCACCCTTCTGCAACAAAAATAAACATTCGGTGAGTCTCCCACATGTTTAAGTGAAGACATATGAAGAATGTTTTTAAAAAAATAAAACGAGAGTCAAAAGAGCTATGTTTGCCTCTCGTTGATTCAATTCGGTGCTGTGGGGATGCTTGGCATGGGAGTAAATTTTCTTTTACACGACTAGTATTTTGTTTTTTTATTTTGCAGCTCCGGTACTAGGAGAAGAGCCCAATTTGAGACCGGCTTTGTAGTCCTCAGGTGTGCAGAAGAAGCGGAGATAGGCGAGATCGTAGAAGCTTTCCCCGTTGCTGACATCAGGCACATTGTGGCCTTGGACGACGACAAGTACATTCAATGAATTGACTAGCCAAACACTTCCTGGTTTTCCACCCATGCCTGTATTGCTCCAGACTAGTCGTGGTTTGATGCGCGCGGGTAACGTCCATCGCTTGGGAACACAGTGGACGTCCTCCACGCTCGGCGGCTCATCCGTCAATGTTGCCACCATACCGAGCGCTACAAAATCCTGACTAGGGGGGACGGGTTTCCAAACAAACAAAGCTTGGCCTTTTCCGTAGTGGCAATTCCAAACCTGACGGAAGCGCACGGGATGAGGACATATACGGCCGACGACAGAGTCGAGGATCGAGCTCTTTTGGATGTTGTTGCATCCCGTGTCGGAAATCTCAATCAGCAAGCGCACGTTGGATCCAGACATGCGTCCGGGGTAATCGAAACTATTGTTTGGGTAGTGACCCACACAGAGGCGCACTTTATTTCGCGCAAAGACGCTGCGGCTTTCCATGGCCTCCCAAACACTCAACCTTGTCCGTGTGCCCGTGTTCTTACTGTTCCAGATTGGTTTGTAGTTGGTAACGGCTTTCAGCTTTACTTTGAACAGCGGTATGGCTGAAATGTCGACAGCTACATCCCTCACCCGGCCTTTGCCTTTTTGCAGGTCCCTCAGCTCTTTGATTAGCTTAGGAGGAATGAAAAGATCGTCAAAGTGCATATGGGGAGCTTGCAAAACCGCAAGTTCCATACGGTCCTCACCCGTAATACTACTTCTGGTGAAGGCCTGCTTGAATTCTTCGAAAGAAATTAGGCCATCTCCATCAACGTCAATGAACATGACAATGTTATAGATTTGGTCAGGCGTCAGCATCAAACCCAACCAATCGAGACCCCCGTAGAGTTCTGAACATGTCAGAAACCCTGAGTGGCTGAAATTAAAGGCTCGGAAAGCATCTCGCGGATACATTCCTTTAACCCTAATGAGGGCTGTGATGCGTGATATTGCTGCGCGCGGCTGTAAAAGATGATACTCGTCCGGGGTCCCAAAGAAACGAGCGAGCTTGGTTTGCTCCACATCCACTTGCCGTCGACGACGACACGCCCGCACATCTTTGAACCACGTCAGACGCGCTGGGGCCTCATTCGTTTGGAGAGCGCGGAAGAGCAAGATACCCTGCCTCTCGCTGAAATTAACGTCAGAATCCAGGAATCGAAAGGCCTGCTCAGCCATAGCCTGATGGTAGGATTTTGCGGCCTGGTAACTGCCTGAGGCGTCCAGCATGATCCCATTTGTCAGACGCAGCGCAACAGCGGCATTTCCTTCATCAAGCAGCATCTTACTCTGCCTCAAGTGCAATACTCCTCGCAATGCTTCTGCCTCTACCAATGAGAGAGCCACATAATAACGGCCACTTTGGATGGTATTATATGCGCGACACGTGATAATTGCCTTTGCTTGCTCGAAATTTATGTGTCGTCGCTGCTCTGTATCAATGCGCTCTAGAATATTTCGGGTGTTATATTGCTCTCGGTTCATATCTAGCTCCAGACTTTCCAGGAAAGCCTCAGCCTCATCGTAAGTCAGCTGATCGTCTCCATCTGAGTCAAAAAGACGATATGCTTTGAGAAGGTGCTCCTCCTGGGCCCCACTCATGTTCTTCCCAAATTGGTTGTGACCCTCACTGAAGACGAGCATGGCAAGGTCTGGTATTACATCAAGAACGACAATCACATTCTTGAGACGCCGGTATGTCTTCAGTGACCAGCCACGGTTGTAATAGTTCCGGCTGAGAAAACAGTACTCCGGGAAAAGGATGGGCTGAGGCCTTGACAGTATCTTTTTGTAAACAGCAAAGTCCGAACATGGATAAAAACCCTGCTTCCCGCGAGATGGGGGCTCTTGCAGCGATGCCACAGGCCAAGGCTTGGGGGCCTCGTCTTCTCGCGAATACTTTTCCTGAACGTACTCCTCCAAGTCCTCCAGCTCCACTCGCTCTTCTTCCTTCTCCTGTTCTTGTTCTTGTTCCTGCTCCTGTTCCTGTTCCTGTTCCTGTTCCTGCTCCTGTTCTTGCACCTGCTCCGTCCCAAATGCCTCTTCCTGTTCTACCACGGCCGGATCTGCTACTGCAGTGCCCGTCTCAGTTTGTTCAGCACCGGCCACCACATTTAAAATGCTTCTCACTGTGGCTCGATCATCTTCGACGGAAAGGAAAGGTTTGTATTCCTCACACATCTCTAAAAGTTTTTTTGTGAAGGCCTTGCCGATAGGTATGGAATTTTCCACAGAATAATCGACGCGGTCACGGAAAACATCCACGCATGCCAGGAGGTGGTCATTGCAGTCCTTGGTACCCACGACTTCATACCGGCGCACTAGCTCTCTCCAAGCCACTTTACGCCACACATTTTTGACACTTTGTTCGCACAACAGATCGAACTGTACTTTCTCGCTGCGGAACGAGTTTATGGTCAACCAAGCGCATACATCCCGTAATGCCTGGGTCGTGCGGTCCACGGGGGTAGCCCGCCGGTCTAAACCGCCTTCTGCTTGCAGGACCTGTGTTCGGATGAGCTTTGCGATTTCAGGAATTATCACCAGGCGAATTTTCTGGCCCTTCCCTATGCCACGCATACGGTAAGCACCCTGGGCGTAGTCTCGAAAGTTCATATCTTTTCCCAAAGTCAAGGCTGCTTCGGCGCTTAAAGGCTGTTGTATATCCATACCCGTCGTATGCACCTGATCGTAGAAAGTGAAGCGCTTCTCTAGTGGAATTTGGCATTGCTGAAGCTTTACGACCTTCATCGATGATCGGCACAAAATCATTTTTCGGTCCTTATCATCGAGGAACACGACCCCTTCCATATTAGGCAATCCGTGTTGCAATAAGTACTCGGCGACCTGCAAATTGTCAAGACCAGTAATGAGAGCCCCGGTATCAATGAGAGCATTGAAGTTGGAGTTACCTATGTAGTGCAGTAGGGATGAAACCGTCCATCCATGCCCCATAACATCGAAGGCCACGATCGACGGGGAGGTAAGGTAGTGTAGCATCTGAGCTGTGTCTCCTTGCTCATACACACAACGCCCCATCTCTACCGGAAGGAGATCGGAAGGCGTGCCTGAGAATCCAAGACGGCGCTCAAAAAGCAAAGCCCCACCTAGGTCTTGCCCATTTGCAGCAAGCTTCAAGACATGATGTTCCATTGTCTCAGGAAACACGAAATTGCAAAGATAGTGCTCCACAACATGCGGCTGACGTCCCAGCAAAGTGTATAGAGACTCCAACACCTCTGAATCTCGCAGATCAATGAGATGGAGAGGCAACACCTCCTCATCCAAATCTACTCCATCCGCCTGCCCTGCAGGCACGGGCTCAGCAGGTACCATCCCCAAGGACAGGAGATCACTCACGGCTTCAGGCCTGGGAGTTATGACACCACCTGCCGCTGTGGCCGGTGCATCGATATCAGACTTTTTCTTGACGCCTCGCACAGTAGCTCCAGCCTCTTCTACCCATTTGACGAAAAGCAGCCAGCTGGGTCGAGAGGCCATTGGACCAAATTCTTCCTCAAAGAGGTTCTCCCGCAACATAGTCATAACATTTATAAAATCCGTCAGACGTAAACCTTCGTAACGGTAGGCCAAAATTGTCAGGCCGATTACCACGTCTGGATGAGAGAACTCCGACTCGCGACTGGGGACATCCTTTCCGACGAAGGGCACAGCTAATAATTTTCGCGTTTTCGGCATTCGCGGATTCCTCTCTAGAGCAATAACTAGGTCGCGGGTGTTCAAGAGACCGAAGGTGACTCTGTCGATTTTCGACAGCACGTGCGGAAGTGCAGATTCAAGCCAGTCTCTTGTCAGATTTAGCATTCTGATCTGATCGTCAGAAAGGTATTCATGGATGGCTTTCTGAGTTTCTTCGGGAGCCTGAGCGCCGAATTCCAAGAACGACAGTATAATGCGATCTGCCACACGTACGGATTGGTATCTCATCCAAATCAACATCCAGCGGGCTAATAAGGGCTTAAGTAAAGCATTGTAAAAGTTGCGGTCCAGTAGTACCACATGAGGTGTCCGTTGAATGAGCTTTTTCGAGTGGCCGTCTTCCAAAACTTCCTTGACCTTCTCCAACAACATCACAGCTTCGCGTGAGTCTCGGAAACCGACTGTCATTTTGTTCTCTGTGAAATAGAAAAGTGCATCCAGCAGATGAAATGGAATCTTCCAGCGAAGGCCGTCATTCTTCTCATGTCCGTCCCTGCTGCGAGTGAAATCAAGCGGCCTCTTTCCACCGGTCGGCCAATTGAGTTCTGACTTAAGTGGATGCAGTATCAAGTCTACTTCATCAAGCAACAGTGCCCCTGTGCGAAAAAGGTCAATTATCTGTACACAAAGTCGAGCCTCCTTGCGCAAACCGCCTATGGCAGCCGCACTCAACTCCCGACCTTTGACATCTTCACGGGAGAGCCCAAATAGCGCCTTGAAGCCAGATTTCTTGGTTTTTTCAGGCGGAAGACTAGTTCCGTCCAAAATATGGCATATCTCCACAAATTTGAGAGCAAATGATTTGATGGCTGTAGGTGTAGTCACAACAACGGACCGGGTCTCACGAGCGTGATGAAGCTTACGGTATAGCCCTTCAGTCACGGTCATGAATCGATCAAAGTGGAATGTCAAAACAGCTTTATTAAAGATGGTTGAGAATCTCTCGCGCATCACGCTGCGAGACATTTCAAGCAGAGCATTGGGAACGCATTGAACCACTAAAGATTTACCATCTCCCAGAAGCAGTGCGAGCAGC